GAAGGGGCACGGGCGGTCTCCCTTCCTGAACCTTAAACGAGCATGAGTTGCTGGCGTGATCGATTTAACGTGTACAGAAAACTCATGGTTCACAACATTGGAGTCAGCTAAGTACCGTTGGCCAGCCGTGGGCACCTCACGAGCGCCCTTCTCGTACATTTTCCTCCTCCGTAGTCCACAGTGCTGTGACCTTGCTTTAGTAACTCCATTATGCAGAGGGGGAAACGGGGACAGGTGTCAGGCACGGTAGCATGTCCCGAATGACAGCCACGTCGAGCTCTTTCCACACCAGTCTTCGGTCAGGAGTCAGGTTATCCTTCCATGCTGAACCCCAAGTTGTATTTTTATATCAATAAGTATTTATTGACAAATATTCGAATATCCGCTTCATTATTATCCATAATAATGTTTACGGGCCTTTCAAAAGCTTGTAGTTCTTTCCATAAGCCTCAAATTTTGGAACCAGCAGAACTTCCCAAGAATGCAGACTCCACGGAAGCTGGAACATTTGTGTCTTTTGTCCACCTGGGATTGTGCCTGACATATAAGAGGCACTCACACAAATTGTTGAATTAATGATTGAACCAAGTAACTCTTGATGCGTATTTCAAACACTGAGTCTAAATTCATGATTATCTTATTATGGCAAATAAAGACTTTTTAAAATAAGAAATGCCTGTTACTTTAAAGAAACCAAAATGGAAATTTTAAATTTTTTTTAAAGATTTCATGTATTTATTTAAGAGAGAGAGAGAGAGACAGAGATAGCGACAGAGATAGAGAAAGAACCAGGGGGAAAGAGAGAAGCAGGCTCCCCACTAAGCAGGGAGCCCAGAGGCGGGGGCTCTATCCCAGGACCCTGGGACATGACCTGAGCCCAAGGCAGATGCTTAACAGACTGAGGTACCCAGGCGCCCCACAAAATTTAAATTTACAGAGGGATTATTTATATTATAAAAGGATTCCATTTAAAAACATTTTCTTGTGGCTTTAAGTAGTATCGAACAAATCATTACTATTAAATTACACCAACAAATAAGAATCAATGATGGTTCATTAGGAATGATTTTTTTTAACAGCTAGTTGATAAGCAAGTTGCAGGACCTTGCTTATATTGATGCAATCTGTTGATAAAGCCATTGGAAGGAGTATGTATGTGTGTGTATTTGATTTTTCAGTTTAAAATTATCCTTAGTGGTGATTTTCAATTTAAAAAGTAATACATGCTTGTGAAGCAAATGAAAAATACAAAATAAGGATGAAAAGGGCAAGTTATCTCCCACTCACTTCTATTCCTACTAACCTTAACAATCTTATATTATTCGGGGCTCCTGGGTGGATCAGTGGGTTAAGCCTCCGCCTTTGGCTCAGGTCATGATCTCAGGGTCCTGAAATCGAGGCCCCCATCAGGCTCTCTGCTCGGCAGGGAGCCTGCTTCCCCCTCTCTCTCTGCCTGCTCTCTGCCTATTTGTGATCTCTCTCTCTGTCAAATAAATAAATAAAATCTTTAAAAAAAAAAATCTTATATTATTCTTTTACACCTCCATACTTGAGCATATGCACAGTTATATAGGAGGTTTATTTCCAAAATTGAATCATACTACACGTTAATCTTCAATTAGCTTCCCCACCTTTTTATAACTTATAATTCTTTTTTTTCTAATTTCTTTACATATACATATACATATACATACATATTTATTTTTATATAAACAGACTCCTGTGGTTCATGCTTGGGTACATTCTTAATGCCCAACCCCCTTCCCTTGTAAACTTGTTCTTTCCCTCCTGCCCCCAAGGTAAACCATGTTAATACCCTTACGTGAATGTTTCTGGACTTTTCTCCACACTCCCATTTTATGTACAAATATATAAATATATGCATACAAGCACACACGGGTTTTGTCTACCTCATAGCAATGCTAACATTATACACAATTCTCAACATCTTCCTTTTCTCACTTAATTCTTTGTAGAAATACCTCCAATTATTTTTAATAGCATGATAGCCCCTGGGGTATAAATGTACTATGCATTCTTAAAATTTTCGATTTTTGATTAGGTATTGAAGTATTCAGTTTGATTCAAGTTTTTACCACAAAGAGGAAGTTCTCAATAAACAACTTTTTGTGCTGGCCTTTTTACTTCTATGAAACAGATTCCTGGAATGGGGTTGTTAGGTCATGTATATTTTTAATATGAACAGATGGAACAATATGCCTTTTCTTTAGTAATGTTTAAACATATTTTTCCTTACATCCTCACCAGCAATAGGTTTTATGGATTTTTTTCTTTTTGGCTTTTGATAGTGTGAAATCAAAACAAAAATTTTCCTCATTATTATGTTAATTAGCACTAGGGGGTTTTAACCAAGTAAGTGTCCTTTAGATTTTTTTCTATTTTAAAAAATCACTGGGTACCATGTATAGGACAGATTCTGAGAAAAATGTTCCCAACAGTTAAGACTAAGAGACTCTTGCAGTAGTCCAAGTAAAATACAGCGGTGGCAATAAGCGATGGAAAGATATGAAAAAGATTTGGGGAGTAGAATCAATAAGACTTGCTGGATACAGACAGTGAGGAGGAGAGAGGAATTATGGATGACTCCCAGGCTTCTAGATTAAGCCAATTGGGTGGTTAATGGTACCAGTTAGAAACAGGGAACACTAAAGACCTAAGAAGTTGGAGTGGGAGAGTGATAATTAGTTCAATCTTGAGGTTGCTTTCGAGGCATCTCAGTGAGAGGTCACTGAGCATATCAATTGCATATATATTCCTGGAGCTCAGAGGAGAGTTCTGAGTTAAAGGTAAAATAAAATTGGGAGTTTTAGGTATATGAATTATGAGGAAAGCCGTGAGAATGGATGAATTCAATGAAGGACAAGAGAAGGCCTAGCCCTGAGATCGGGAGGAGCCAGCAAACACAGGCTGGGAAAGACAAGTCCTAGAAAAACAATCCGAATACTATCCTGGTATCACAGCAACTAGAAAAAAGAGTGCTTCAGCGAAGGAGTGACCAGCTGAGCTGAACCCTGCCCAGAGAGCAAGTAAGATGAGCAGTGTTACATGCCGGTTTTTAAGTAATATGAGGTCAGGTTATCCAAAAGTGGTTTTAATATATGATAAAAAAGCAATTTACAACCCCTCTCAAAATCATCTCTAGTAGAGTACTGTTATTGGTATGGGTCAATATTTGACTTCATAGCCATACATCAGATGCCATCCAAAGAACTTTGAAAGAAAACATCAACAGTATGGTTTTTCACTACTGATATTCTGATCCCCCAAAGCAAAATTCTATTAAAATTTAAAACAATATCATTTTAACAAGATACCTCTGAGTTTAAAGAAACAATAAGAAATTTGATTTATTTATTTCATAAGCCTGATTCTGTGAATCTTTTCAATCCTTGAATCCAATTACTGTCAGTACTTTAAAGCAGGCCCCTTTCCAACCGCCCATTTTCACATTTGTCAAGTAGTCTAACAGATGTACAGCCCTAAGTCCAGCTCTTCCACTTACTAGCTAGGTAACCTTGGGCACATTCCTTTCTGAATCTCCTTCCTCTTCTGTCAGATGGGAATGAGAGTTCCCAACTTGAAGCTTATTGTGAGCAATAAATAAAATATGTGAAGGGTCTGGCATATAATAAGCATTCCATAAATGGTAGTAATTTGTCATGGACTGTGCCCAAACAAAAATCTGTTTTCATAACATATCTTAGTCTAAATCCAATTAAAAACGAGTTAACTGCACAGACTAACTCTATTACGATAGTTACTTAGAATTTGCTATTTTACAGAGCTGAAGAACCTATGCATTACGGAAACATAATGTATGACAGAAGGGTGATCCGAGGCAACACTTATGCTCTACAGATGGGACCGCTGGTAAGTAAAATTTGAATAATTCTAACAGCTTTTCAAAGTACTTGTGCTGAGCAACCAGTTTGTTTGTTTTCATTCCTAATTTGCTGTAGACTAGAACAGTTATAAAATAAAATGCTGATAGATTACTAGAAAAATCTAATTTTTAAAAAAAAGACATGCGAAATACAAGGCTGATGGTGGGTGCCGAGGATTAAGGGAGTGGGGGATTAGGGAGTTAGTGTTTAATGGGCACAGAGGTTCAGTTTTGCAAAATGAAGAGTCTGGAGATGGATAGTGGTAATGGTTGTACAACAGTGTAAATGTACTTAATGCCACTAGATTCTATACTTCAAAATGGCCTTTACCACAACTAAAAACAATAATTTAAAAAAATACAAAAACTCCAATGTTTTGCTAGATTAACAGCACTTTGTAAAACTGCTCCAAAAGCTTACACACTTCTACTCTCAATTTCTATAATTAAATTTTTACAGACCAGTTCAAACAGTTCACAGATAACACTTTGAGTAGCACTGGTATAACATATTTAGGTTTGTTTAAATTATTTCATACTATAATACTCTCCTCATTATTTAATCCAAAATTCTTTTAATTTCTAATTTAATTAAATTTCTTTAATTTCTAAATATTTATAATACTTATTGGGTTTTAGGTCCTGTGTTGAGTACCTAGGATACAGAGATGATTAGGATGTGGCTTGATGATTAAGAGTGATGATGAAATACAGTTAATCTGTAAACACTGTGTGATATATACATGCCCACCACCACATGGTGATATATGGAATATTAGACATTCTGAAGCATGTACATCAAAGCCATCAAGGAAACTCACTAAAAATATTGTATGTTTCGGCCATACCCTGGATCTGCTGCATTTAGAACCTTCAAGGGTTGGACACAGATATGTGCATCATTAATTATCTTCTCTAGGCAGTCGGTACAGCCAGTTCAGGGACCAACATTTGAAAACAACAGCTCAAACATGCGATATAGATGTGATTTGGCATCTTGTGGCAATAGCAATAAACACTGGCACACCTGGAACTAAACTAAAAAAGAGAATCACCTTTTTTTTAGTTTTTTTAAATTAATATTGTGATGATTTGATTTTTTTTTTTTTAGTTCTTCAGTTAATTATTCAACAACTTACCTAAAAATTCTATACTGAGACTTCCAGTCCAGACAAGCAGGAATTTGCCAATAGCACAAGCAAACACTAGAAGATTCTGGAAATGGAAAGAAGGAAATGGACTGGCTAGGGACCTCAGGATTTGAGCGACATAGTGATGAGTTCCCTAAGTCTTCTTAAATCCCATTCAGAACACTGGAGAAGCTTGCAACTCAGCACAACCAACAGGCACAAACCTGCTCCCTTTATCCAAAAGACTGCAAAAGGGTAACCTAGCAGAACAGAAACCTTTTTACTACCCTTCCCCCAGCCAAACCCCCATGGAAAAACTGTCCTGTCCCTCCTAGTGGAGTCAGCAAGACGTGGCTGGGGAACTGGACTTCCATCCCCACACTGGCAGCAATAGTGCAGTACTAATCGGTGCTCTGATTCACTCACTGAGGTGGTATCAACAAGGGCTGAGCAGGAAGCTTACCTTCCATTCTCACCCAGGGGCAGTGAGATGGCCAGAGATGGTACAAGTTGGTACCCTGCTTTTCCTGGGGTGATGGCAACAGAGCTAGGAGGCAGCTGAATTTTCAATCCTATCTGGCAGCAACAAAGAGAAACAAGTGAGATAAAGCAGTGTTAGAGCTCCACTCCTCTATACCCCAATACTGGTGTCACAGCAGGGAGCTGAAATACTACCCCCACCAGGCACCAATAAGGTGATTGATACAAATTGATCCTCAGCTTTCACATGGGGCCTAGCAGGAGGCTGAACTGCTATCTCCACCCATGCCTACATGCCACCGCAAAAAGGGATGACTTCCTGCTAAAAAAAAGATTAAGATCCAGAGTTTCACATCCTAACACCCAAAATTTCCAGGATACAAAAAAAAAAAAAAAAAGAAAAAAAAGAAAAATCACTCATCATACCAAGAACCAGAGCAGTCCCAACTGGAACGAGGAAAATCAGTCAAGAGACGACAACACCAACATGACTCAGATGGAGGAATCACCTGACAAGGATTTTAAAGCAGTAATCATTAAAAAATGCTTCAATCAAAAGTGAATAATTATGAACATTCTTAAATGAAAAAACAAAATATTAGCGAAGAAATAGAAGTCATACAAATGAGCCAAATGGGGGCACCTGGGTGGCTCAGTCAGTTAACCATCTGCCTTCAGCTCAGGCATGATCCCAGAGTTCTGGGATGGAGTACCACATCGGGCTCACTGTTCAATGGGGAATCTGCTTCTCCCTTCCCCTTCTGTCCCTCTCCCGGCTCCTCTCTATCTCTCAAATAAATAAATATCTTTTAAAAAAAATGAACCAAATGGAAAATATGTAAAAAGTCACATGACTCATCCGAAATGACGTAGGGAGCAATCAGTGAATTCAAAGCCAAATCAATGAAAATTACCCATTTTGAATGACAATTAGAAAACAGGCCACAAAATAATAATAATAATAAAAAGTAAAAAAAGCTTCACAGCTGAGGAGCAATAACAAAATGTCTAACATTCATGTTTTCTGAGTCTTGGAGAGGAGAAAAGGCATGGGACTGAAAAAATATTTGAAGAACTAGTGTTTGAAAATTCCACAAATTTGGCAAAAGGCAAAAACCTACAGATCTAAAAAGTCAGTTGAACCCCAAGCAGGGAAAACCTAAAGAAATTCACACCAAGACACAACAAAATCAAATTTCAAAACTAAAATTAAAAAACTTGAAAGCAGCTATAAACACATGACACATTGCCAGAAGTGGAACAATTATTTGACTAACAGTGATTCTTCATTTGAAACAGTGGAGACCAGAAAAAGTGGCACAGTATTTTTCAAGTCCTGAAGGAAAAGGGCTATCAAGCTCTAATTCTAATCCAGTGAAAACATTCTTCAGGAATAAAGAGGAAATCAAGTTGCTCTCAGATGAAGGAAACCTAGAGGATTTGTCACCAGCTGACTTACCCTTAGAGAAGAGCTAAAGAAAGCTCTCCAAATAGAAAGGAAATTATAACAGAAGGTAGCTTGGGACTTCAGAAAGGAAGATAGAACAGTGGAATAGGTGAAAATAGGGGTAAATACAATAAACTGTCTTCTGGGTGTTAAAAATTGTGTTTAATGGTTGAAGCAAAACTACAACATCATGTGATGTGGTGCTTAATATATGTAGGTAAAATACTTAAGATGATTAGATTTTGATTGTATTTTAAAAGTAAGGAAAATAATGTTATCTAAATGGCAGTAAAGTTTCTGCCTTCCACTTAGAGTGGTAAAATGTTGATATTAAATGTTGACTGTGGTCAGGTACATAGTATATTGTAAAACTTGGAGCAACTATTTTTTAAAAAACTATGCAAAGAGTTATAGTAAAAACTATTACAGATAAAAAAAGAATTCTCAGAAATGTTCCAACTAATTCACAGGAAGGAAAGAAAAAGAAAACAAAAATTAGAACAAACAGAAATCAAAAAGTAAAAAGACAACCCTAACATGGCAATAGCTGCCTTAAATGTAATGTAATAGTTGTAATAGTTGCTTTAAATGTAATAGTTTGCTTTAATGTAATAGTTGCTTTAAATGTAAATGGTCTAAACAAGCCAATTAAGAGATAGATAGGCAGAGTAGGTAAAAAAAACAAAAACAAAAACAAAACAAAACAAAAAAACCCCAACCATGACCCAATTGTGTTCTGTCTACAAGAAACTCATTTCAATTACAGTGATGTAGGTAGGTCAAAAGTAAAAGGATGGGAAAAGATAAACATTAATTTTTAAGCAGTAGTTGTGGCTATCTAAATAACAGATAAAGTAGACCTAAAGAAAACAATATTACTGGGGACAAAGAAGGACAATACAAAATGGTGAAAAGGTCACAGTATTCCAAGAAGATACAGCAGTCTTAACTGTATATGCACCAAACAACAGAGCTTCAAAATACATGAAGCTAAAACTGGAAGGAGAAATAGACAAATCCATAATTTTAGTTTGGTACTTCAATATCCATCTATCAGAAAATCAGCAAAAATATAGAAGAACTACACATCACCAACCAATAGGTTGTAATTTACATTTATACAACACTTTCACCTGACAACAACAGAGTACATATGCTTTTTTTTTTAAGATTTATTTATTTTAGAGAGCACAAGTGGGGGCAGAGGGGTGCAGAGGGAGAGACAACCTCAAGCAGATTCTGCACTAAGCACAGAGCCCAGTGGCAGGCTTGATCTTATGATCCTGAGATCATGACCCGAACTAAACCAAGAGTCAGATGGTTAACTGACTGCACCACCCAGGCACTCCAGAATTCATACAGTTTTGAGGCTCCTATGGAATATTGACCAAGGTAGAACATATCCTGGGTTACAAAACAAATCTCAAGATATTTAGGATATTTGATATCATACCATAATGGAATAATGTCTCTTTCAAAATTTCAAACTAGAAATCAATAATAGATGATAACAGGAAAATCTTCAAACACTTGAAAATTAAGCAGCATGTTTCCAAATAATCCATAGAGGAAATACTAAAGGGAATTTTGAAAGACTACTCAGGACTAAATGAAGATACAACAAATCCAAATTTGTGTTTCATGCCAAAACAGCGCTGAAATGGAAAAACTAAAAAAGAAAGACTTCAAATCAATAATCTAACCTCCTACCTCAATAAATGGGGAAAAGATGAGAAAAATTAACCCAAAGCAAGCGGAAGGGAGAAAATAATAAAGATAAAAGCAGAAATCACTTGCATTGAAAACAATAACAATAGGGGCCCCTGGGTGGCTCCATTGGCTAAGCATGGGACTCTTGATTTTGACTTAGGTCATAATCCCAGGGTGGTGAGATGGAGCCCCAAATCAGGCTCAGTGCTGGGTGTGAAGCCTGATTAAGATTCTCTTTCTCTCTCTTTCCCCTCCTACCCCCATTTACATGCACTCACCCTCTCTCAAAAAAAAAAAAAAAAAAGTAGAGGCACCTGGGTGGCTCAGTCGGTTAAGTGTAGAACTCTTAGTTTTGGCTCAGGTCATGATCTCATGGGTCCTGAGATTGAGCCCCACTTCAGGCTCCACACTTAGCAGAGGGTCGGCTTGAAGATTCTCCCCCACCCATCCTCCTCCCCCATGCATGTGCACTTGCATGCACACACACTCTCTCTCAAATAAATGAATCTTTTTTAAAAGCATACAAAAACAGCAGAGAAAATCAATGGACCCAAAAGCTGGTTCTCTGAATAAAATCAATAAAATTGATAAACCTCTAGCAAAACTACCAAATTAAAAATGAGAAGGAAGACACAGATAGCAGATACCAGAATTACTATCAGGGGATATAACCATAGATCCTGCAACCATGAAAAGATTAAATTTCTTATCTTTGAAAAGATCAGTAAAATTGATAAGCCTCTAGCAAAACTAACAAAAAAAGGTAAAAGAGGGGTTCCTGGGTGGCTCAGTAGGTTAAGCGTCTGTCTTCAGCTCAGGCTATGATCCTAGGGTCCTAGGATGGAGCCCGGTGTCTGCTCCCTGCTTGGCTTGGAGTCAACTTCTCCCAGTACCCCTCCCCTACCCCCCCACCGCCACTCGTGCTTGCTCTCTCTCACTTTCTCTCTCTCTCTGTCAAATAAATAAATAAATTAAAATCTTTTAAAAAGAAAAGAAAGGAAGTAGAAGAGGAGAAAAAAATAAGCAAATATCAGGGATGTAACTAGTAAAGATTCTGTATCTAGTAAAAGTAAAAGGATCATAATAGAATACTACAAATAAATCTATACATATAATTCAACAAACTAAATGAAATGGGCTGATTCTTTAAACTATAAACTACCAAAATTCACCTAACATGAAATAGATATTCTGAATTGTCTAATAACTATTAAAGAAATTGAATTTCTAATTTAAAAGCTTTCAAAAAAGAAATATCCAGGCCCAAATAGTTGCACTGGAAAATTCTACCAAGGGTTTTTTTTTTTTTTAATGCTCATTGATTTTACACAATTTACATAATTTTACACAATCTCTTCCAGAAAATAAAAGAAAAAGGAAAACTTCAGGGAATCAGTATTACCCTGATAACCAAATCAGACAAAGACACCTATAGACCAATAGCTATCATGAATGTCAACGCAAAAATCCTCAACAAAACACTAGCAAAGAGAAACCAGCGGGGATTCCACACTCAACAGGGAGTCTCCTTGAGATTCTCTCTCTCTCTCCTGCTCCCCCTCCCCACCCCATGTGCTCTCTCTCACCCTCTCTCAAAAAACAATAAATAAAATAAATCTATGGTATCATCACAACCAGAAAAAGTGTATGCATTTAAATGACAATGGCCACTGTATTAGGGAAATGGGAATATGGCATATTTTTAATAAATTTTAATGTTACCAGATTGTTTTTACAACTCTAATTTTAAATATTAAAATTTTTTTCACACAAAGTCTTTCAAATTTCCCCATTCTTTTCATATTTACCTTGAGATAAGACAGGTTAGCTATAGGAAATGACCACAGAATAAGATACAGATATGAAATCAAGGACCTCTAAATATTGCAGAACTCTACTGTAAATAATTACATTTTTAACCCCAAATCAGCTATTGTTTTGTACACTGGGACAGGCTTTGTTTGGACTGAGAATATTTCCTTTATGACCTCACATATTTTTTCAGGAATTTTGTCTATGTGAAATTCAGATTTTTTTTTTTTAGATCCTAGTGCTTTTCAATTCCTTAACTACATATTAAAATGTATTGTAACTGAGTAATTCTACAGTATACTTGGTGACGAGGCATCCAAGGAATTCACGGTAAAAATGCTTGAATGAGGAAAAAGAATTTATTAGATGGGATTCTGCCGGTTTATTCCAGTCAACAGTCACACTTT